CCTGGATTCGTTCTCGCCGAGACGTGCTTCCTGCGGACCCCCTCCCGGGTCGGGGCGGTTGGTTCCTGGAGGAATTGATCTTCGGGAAGTCGGCGGCGGCCCGCAGAGGTTCTCTAACTATTACCACCGGCGCCGGACGTGGTCGGCTGCCTCCCTAAATTAAACGGAACTTCATTCGCTCACACCGTCCGAGGTCAGGCACGGCTTCCGAAAGCAGTTGCCTGCGGTGGCCTTTTTTTTTTAATGATTTTGAACGGTGACCTATTCATTCATATGAATGAATAGGTCACCGTTCAAAATATATATAATTGATTTTTTTACAGAGAGGAAGGGAGAGGGACAGAGAGTTAGAAACATCGATGAGAGAGAAACATCGATCCTCTTCACACCTCCCACTGGGGATGTGCCCGCAACCAAGGTACATGCCCATGACTGGAATCCAACCTGGGACCCTTCAGTCCGCAGGCCGACGCTCTATCCACTGAGCCACACCGGTTTCGGCTGCGGGTGGCCTTTTTACCTTGTGAAGGCGAGCCTGCTCATGTCCGCGGAGCTCGCTCCAAAGCGCCCTGGAGAGAGGGGTCTGGCACGGGGCCTGGCAGTGGTCAGCGCTCATTCAAAGTTTGTGCGAATGGGACGGAATGAAAGATCCACCCCCAGGGGGTTGGGATCCCATCCTAGAACACTACGTGACGGATAGAGAGTTAGCTCTCTGTTGCAGAATGAGGAATGGGTGGGTGATAGACGTGTTGGCTAAGATTGGATTATTAGGATGCTTGCCTAGTAAGTAATTTTGACTGTAAATTAATTATCCAGGACTTGGTGTGTTTGTGTGTGTGTGTGTGTGTGTGTGTGTATGTGTGTGTGTGTGTGTGTGTGTGTGTGTGTGTGTTCTTCCAGAATGACAACCACAGGTATCTAATTTTAGTGTTTTATTTTCTTTTGTCTCATTTTGACTATATATATTTTTCAAACGTATTATCTGATTGGTGCATGTTTAATATTTGTTTCATTTTGGAAATGTAGGTTGCTACAACAAGGAGTAACGAAATATTCTAATTGTTGAGATGCTTGCATTTTATTTTTTTAACATTTTTTTATTTCAGAGAGGAAGGGAGAGGGAGAGAGAGATAGAAACATCAATGATGAGAGAGAACCATCCAACGTCTGCCTCCTGGACTCATGGTCCTCCCTCCCCCCTTCCAGGATTGAGTTTGCAACCCAGGCATATGCCCCTGACTAGAATCGAACCCAAGATCTTCCAATCCACAGGCCAATGCTCCATCCACCCCGCCAAACCAGCTAGGACGAGACGCTTACATTTTTTAATGCCACTTTTAAAAAATTGAATGTCATAAAGAAACAAATGGTCATAGTTTTGGCCTACGAAATGAGGTACAGTCATGCGCTGTATAGTGACATTTTGTTTAAAGATGGAACACATATACAAAGGTGGTCCCATAAGATGGTAAAATTCCCATTGCTAGTGACCTGTAGCTGTCATAATGTCATAGTGCAAGTTACGTGTTTGTGGGGATGCTGGTGTAAACAAATCTGAACTGAAAGTCATATAAAAGTGTCGCACGTACAATTATGTACAGTACATAACACTTGATAATAAACGACTGTTACTGGTTTATGTATTTACTGTTGTGAAAGCTAAAAGAATTAATGCTTTTCCTTCCACCTTCTAAGTTCTTATAGTTGGGCCAGAAATTAAAATGAACAGAGACAAATTAACAGGAAAAAGTAAAAACTTTAATACATGCATGTAGGGAATTCACTCACATAGGCCTGAAAATTTCAAAGATGGGGAGGCACCATTGGAGAAAATGTGGGGACAGGGTATTGTATTTCAGAAGTGAGAATGGCAGTTTACAGGTAATTGAGGATTACAGGTAGTTGAGGAAGAGCAGAAGATGCATGGCAGGCAGAAAAATTCTTGTTGAGTGACTCTAAAACAGTGGGACACAGGGTACCCAGCCCAAAGCCCTCTTATTTACCATACTCGATTCAAATTGGATTAAAGCTGACATCCTAAGACTCGGTCCTTCCTGAAGCAGGTTTTTCTGTCTGAGTCTCGGGCAGGAAAGTGGGAAGTGACAGAGTTCTTTCTTGAGTCCTGTTCCTTAATAACCAGCTTAGAACCTATGTCCCAAAGAAGACAGCTTCAGTATGACAAAACTTTAGTTTCCTTCACTATCCTGTGCTTTTACTCTTTAAGTTAGAGCAGTGGTCGGCAAACTCGATATTAGCCAACAGAGCCAAATATCAACAGTACAACAATTGAAATTTCTTTTGAGAGGCGAAAACCGACTTCTGCGCATGGGCCACGAAGTTTCAATCGCACTGTACGTGTGCGCCCACACGTGATATTTTGTGGAAGAGCCACACTCCAGGGGCCAAAGAGCCTCATGTGGCTTGTGAGCCGCAGTGTGCCAACCACTGAGTTAGAGTGCATTCTTTCTATTAAAAGACAATGTATACGTGTTACACTGGCAGCAGCCTCATACATCTTGTGTTTACTGTGTCTCTTGATTGAATAATTTTCCTTCAAAGTACAGTTAATGATAGAAAACTGGAGTCATATATATCTCAGACCTATTTGATGGCTCTCAGATACTACAACTTTTTAATAATCTATTTAATAATCTTGTCAGAGAGCAAAAAGAGTTTGTGAATACTTGGAAGCTCAGACCAGCAGAGCTTAGGGCACTGAACATAATCTCCTCCTATCTTAGTCAACACAGATAAATGTGCTAGTACACGGGATGAGGTCTAATTAGATGGATTTTTATCCATTCAAGTTATCAAACCTACAATATTGGTTAATGAGGATATGTAAGCCTAAATGAAGAAAGGTCCATAGAGATAGACTACAGATTTCTGGGCTTGCTCTTTTTCTGATTAGCACTTTTTTATTACCAAATTTAAATATATGAGGCATGCTTCTCCAATTAATGAATGCACTCAAAACCTGTAGTTAGCATGTTAAATGATGCAACAAGTTTTTAAAGGCTAAAAGAATAGGCCTGAACTAACAGGTATAGATTTACCAGGAATGATTAAATGTACAGAAACCCAGTTGTCCATGTTGGAGATGAAGAAGGCTAGCTACCTTGACAAAAATGGTTCTAGGCCATAATGTTATGTTTATGGAGGAACTTAGTGTCCATTTGAGGAAAGGCAGTATCTTAACCTAATGTCAGACTATGGCCCTGCCATTTACTAGTGGTGTGTGTGGCTTGGGCAAGTAGCTTCATGTCTCATTAGCTCAATTTTCTCAGTGATAAATTGTGAGGATATGATGCAACTGAGGGTGCACTCATTGGACATGTTAAATATCAGTAACCTCTCATCCCATCTGTACTACTCCAGTCATAGAAAGGAGTTTGTTTTTCATTCTGGATGCTAGTATTTATGGGGAAATCTTGAAACACTAAAAATGATGTGGAGGTGATGGGATGTGTGCCCTGAAGAGGAGAGAGAATGTAAAAGCGATCTTCATACATTTAAAAAGCAGTCGGTAAATAGAGGAAGTTATTTTCAAGGAACTAAGTGGGAGCTGTAGAGAGTTGTTGAAAGGTAGATTTAATTCACTCCTTATTCTGTGGCATCTGTGTACCAGATATAGGGAGTGAACAGAACAGATCTCAAAATTAATATAGAACATAAACTGTACACCTATGGATGAGGACAATGGGGGGTGGGGAGGGGACGGAGGGTGGGGTGGGAACCTGGTGGAGGGGGGGAAGAAATGAGGAACCTTTGTAATAATATGAGCAATAAAGATTGAGTTAAAAAAAAAAAAAAAAAAAAAAAGGAAGGAAAACACAGGACAAACCATCAGAGGAGCTGGGAACCTTCTAACTTACCCGAACATGTGGAAATTATTGCACAAAGGTCATTTAAAAATTAATAAATCTTTATTGTTCAAAAAACTTAATATAAAATTAATACAAGAATGAATGTTTGCCTGGCTGGTGTGGTTCAGTGGTTGAGCTTTGACATACTAGTATGAACACATGCCCAAATTGTGGGCCCGATCCCCAGTAGGGGGTGTGCAAAAGGCAGCCAGTCAAGTATTTTCTCTCATCATTGATGTTTCTATCTCTCCCTCCCCCTTCCTCTCTGAAATCAATAAAATATGTTTTTTTAAAAGAATTAATGTGAATACCAGTTATTGATACTCCACAAATGCTATAGGCTGCCTGGTAAACTGTTACTGTTCTACTAATGAAAGTGGCCAAATGAAGGTTAGTGAGTGACCAAATACTACTATTTAGAGGGAATTTCTGTACTGTGTGAAAAAAAATCAAGTATTGACCTTGACTATTGTTTCCAACTTGTAAGTATCCATAATTCTGAATGTTTAAAAATGAATTTAACCTGTCATCATGTAAGATGGGATATCAAAGGCACATTCTTGAAAGACGCTGCTGAAACGCCGTGGCATGCTGCTTGTCCATGGAGAGATTTTCACTTTGTGGAGCTCATGAATCTCGTCTTTCACAGTGATCGTGGACTGCTCATGAGAAAAGTTATGGCTTTAGGGATTTGTGAAAAGATGATGGAAGAGTGAAAGGCTGTGGGGTTACAGAACTGAAGTAAGAACTTTTTAAGGGGGATGGATTATTTAGAGGACTGTTTCTATTCTATCCATGTACATTTATTTTCACTGCATTTCGGTATCCGAGTAGGATTGGTTCCAGGACTTTCTATGGATACCAAAATGTGTGGAAGCTCAAGTCCGTTATTATTGTATACGGCACAGAACAATGTGTAAAAATGTTTTAAATTGGCTTTGGGGGTAAGCTTGGGCTTTTAACTGCCAATCAGTAATGTTGTTTGAGTGGGAAATTTGAATCCAAAATCAGGTACCATCTGTAATTCTGAATTGCTTCACATGGGTATCCCTTTCCAACTTTGCTTCTTCTCTTCCTCATAGGATTCTAACATTTTCAGAGAATCTTTTGAAAAGAACAAGTCTACTCCAATAAATGAAGGAGAATAAAGAAAATTCAAGCCCTTCAGTAACCTCAGCAAACCTGGACCACACAAAACCATGTTGGTACTGGGATAAGAAAGACTTGGCTCATACACCCTCTCAGCTAGAAGGACTTGACCCAGCCACCGAGGCCCGGTACCGCCGAGAGGGGGCTCGGTTCATCTTTGATGTGGGCACACGTTTGGGACTGTATCCTTATCTCTTTGGATTCTGTTTAGGCTTCCCACCACCAACACTGAGAATTAAGTTAAATACTGTTGATAAAATATATAATAATATCTCCCAGCCCCTGTAGCTTAGTTGGTTGAGCATTGTCCCATGCTCCAAGAGATCACTGATTTGATTCCTGGATTTTGGACACAATCGCCATTAGGGGGCAGGAGGCAGTTGATAATGTTTCTCTCATTGATGTTTCTATCTCTCCCTCTCCCTTCCTCTCTTTCTACAATCAATTTTTAAAAAGGAAATCTTACCTTTAAATAGACATATAGTAATATTATTTATCTGTACGGGTCTAGTAATAATTAATGTCGTTTTTAACATTCGTTTAAAATGGCCCTTGAGTATCTTTGTTAACTGATGTGATATCTGATTAGCTTGGCTCTTGGGGGGGTTTCGCCTTTCTATTTTTCATTTAAATGTATAGACGTAGCCATTGAGCAAGTGGCCACCAGGAGGAAAATAGCCACAGTGATCACAGTTGAAGGGTAGTGAAGCCTGGCCTTGCTAACAGTGTAAGCTCACCTTGCTGGGTAAATTCTGACCCGGAGATTCCCATCTCCCTGCTTTGCTGCTGACATGTTTACCTTACCGCTGACTTCGTTGGAATTGCTTGAGTTTTTCAACATTTAACTAAAAACAATAACAATTTCTTGACTAAAGTCCTTAACCAGAACAACAGACACTATGATACCCTGGCAACTGGAATAATTTATTTTCATCGCTTCTATATGTTTCATTCCTTTAAACAATTTCCAAGATATGTAAGTATTTGATTTTTACTGTAATTCTCTATCACATATAATTATTTCCACACAGTTCAGTGAACTAATTATAATCTCTCTATATATTTCCAGAAAGTAGTTATTTTTACATAGTACATACTATGTATAAACAAAATCAAGTTTGAGCTTTGTGTGTGATTGTTTGGTTTTCATTTTTTAATTAACCATATTAAAATCATCTTATTTAGCCTGATATGGACCACAGTCATATTGCACTTTGCGTGAAAGTTTACTTCCCTATTGCCTTTGCCAAGATAAATTTGGGCTTATAATTGAGACCCAACAAAGGCCAAGAAGGAATAAAAATGTTTCAGGCCATTGCTCATTCTGCAGTTGCTCCTTATGCACTGTCTTCTGCTCTGTGGGAGACTTGGGGAATCTGTCTCAGTGCTTTTAGTCCTGAGGTGTGACGTACAAAACAGATGGTAGTGGGGAGAGCATAGGAGAGGTGCAGAAGGAAGGCTGCAGCTTCAGGGGAGAGATGAATGCATTGTGGAGGGATCAGGGAATGTGCCAGGGAGCAGGTGCCTGCAGTAATTAAGCCCTGACTGTAAATGTCAGATGGGACAGAGCAGTGATCCCGCAGAATCTAGCGTGACGAAGACAGGGAGGAACCACGTGGTAAGTATCAGCCCACAGGAGGTTCATTTGGCAGGAATGGAATGGGGGCCCTGAGTGGAAAGGTAGACTAGGTCAGACCATTGTGGACACTGAACTCCAGGCTGGGGCATTAGACCTCAGCAGGTAAACTGGAGTGGTTGAAGAGTTTCATAAAGATGACAGAATTGGACTGAACAGGGGATCAATCTGTTGGGGTTTTTCCTTTTGCTAAGATTTTACTTAGTTTTGTACACAAGTTTTAGAGGAAGGACACTGTGTCAGCATTGTACCCAGGCACAGAGTCTGCCATCTCACATCAGGATTCTGTGGAGGTTCAGACAGGAGAGTAGGCAGAGAGAAGCTGGAGAGAGAGCAGCGAGACCTCTGTGATGTGGGAACTGGACCAGGGTCCAGGCAGCATCAGGGGAGGGAAGGACAGCTGGGCACTGGCACAGAAATGGACTCCACCAGACATGCCTTTAGCTGTGTTCTTTTTCTGGAACAAAGATCACAGTGTGAAAAGAAAAATTGTGTCTGTGGGGTTTTTCCCTTCTGGCATGTACCCTGTTTACATAGCATGTTCTTCAGAAAATTAAATTGAAAATCATTTATGGGGCCAAATTGGGTGTGTGTGTGAAATTACCTTTGAGCTCCTTGTAAATAAATGGGAAGCTAGGAGAGTGAAGGTAAAAAATCTTTGTGTTTCTGTGTGAGCTTTGAGAACAGTATCTCAGGAACTTTTGTCTTCCTTTTAGGTAACAGGAGCTTGTTGTCTCTTTCTGGCCGGGAAGGTAGAAGAAACACCCAAGAAATGTAAAGATATCATCAAAACAGCTCGGAGTTTATTAAATGATGTACAATTTGGCCAGTTTGGAGATGACCCAAAGGTAAGAATCATAACTGCCTGTCTTTAAATCTTGGTTCCTTATGGTAGCGTTAGGTAGAGATTCTGCCAGGCTGGTGTGGCTCATGGTTCGATTCCAGGTGAGGGCACATGCCTAGGTTGTGGGCTCGATTCCCAGTGGGGCATGTAGAAGGCAGCTGATTAGTGATACTCAGCATTGATATTTCTATCTTTTTCTCTGAAACCTGTGTGTGTGTGTGTTATTTATTTATTTATTTATTTATTTTAAGAATAGAGGTCCTTGTCCTAGTCAGTTTCTCAGTGGTTAGAGCATCGGCCCATGAACTGAAGGGTCAAGTGTTCAATTCTGGTCAAGGGTATATAGATTCGATCCCCAGCTCTTGTGTGGAGGCAAACAGCCAATGTGCCTTTCCCTCTTTCTCTGCCTCTTTGCCTCAGATGATGTAGCCACACTTAGGTAGCTCTTGCTAACGTGCCAAGGCATGTTCTGAGCACTTTAGGGGTGATGGCACATGTAGTGGATAGGAACAAAATCTCTCGTGGCTATCTATGCTCCTAGACCACAAGCAGTGTGGCTTCTTTGGTTCAGGGGCACTGGCAGCTTGTGGGTAGATGGATAGAGCCAGTGCTCTGTATACATGTATCTGCATTGCATGTGCTGTGTGTCTTTTGCTTCCGAAGAATGGTGAAAGGTATTGATATTTTCAGACACCCAGAGATTACTGTTGGTTATACCACCCATCCTGTCTTTTCCCCACAACCCCTGCCCATGTCAGGAAATGGTGTTAAAATAATTACATACGTGACTTAGTTATGTTCTAAAAACATAACTTTCAGCCTAGCTGGCATGGCTCATTGGTTGAGAATCGGCCAGTGAACCAGTATGTCACGGTTTGATTCCTGGTCAGGGCACATGCCCAGGATGCAGGCTCAATCCTCAGTGTGGGATGTGCAGGAGGCAGCCAATCAATGATTCTCTGTCATCATGGATGTTTCTACCTCTCCCCCTTTCCCTTCCTCTCTGAAATCAGTAAATATTTTTAAAAATAATAAATAAATAAATAAGTTCACTTTTTAAATGCTGATTTAGACCTGGGACTAAAACTACAAACCCAACACTTACTATTTTATTTTTAGGAAGAAGTAATGGTTCTGGAGAGAATCTTACTACAGACTATAAAGTTTGATTTACAGGTAGAACATCCATACCAGTTCCTACTCAAATATGCAAAACAACTCAAAGGTAAGAAAAAGTTATTAAATGAACTTTTTTATTCTGAAACCAAGTCTTCTTCATCGTTTGATGACATTGCGATTATGCTTAAAAGAGGAAAACAGAAAATACGGTGTGTGAAGTAACCTGGGCCATAGCTTGCCCAGACAATTCAATATTGTGGCTGTTAGTACTGTTTCCTTTTGTGTATAAACAGATTCTGTCATCTAGTTGCCAAGAGGTATGAGACAGGAAAATGAGTCAGAGTTTTTTAAATAGCCTAATAAATTGGGCGATGGACCCAAGCTTCCTATAATGGTGGCTCTCAGCATAGGGCATGTGGAGAGAACTGAGGTGGGGCTTGGGCCCACTGGTTTGCCCTGGTCTCCCATGCAGAAGCTCTTTGCTGTGTATTGGAAGGACACTGAGGGCACCTGGGCTTTATATAAATACTTGTTGCTTCTTGTGCTGCTGCTTTATTTTCTTTTCCTACTAATTTACCAATTTACCTTCTCTTCCCCCCCCCCTCCTCCTTTCCCCCCATTTCTAGGTGATAAAAACAAAATTCAAAAGTTGGTTCAAATGGCATGGACATTTGTAAATGACAGGTACATATACTCAAATGTTTGTTTAATTACAGTATTTTTAACAAACTATAGAAATTATTCCTGAAAGTATAGTCTTTAATAGTGTCTTTAAATACCCAGGGACTTCATATGTCACCTTACCCAAACCCCTTACTTTATATCAAGGAAATTGACTTGACCCAGTTTGAGGAGCCAGTGATGGGCAGAGCTGGGGCCAAAGTCCAGGTCTCCTGTTCCCAATAGAGGCATTGCCCTGCCATGTCATGGTGATGCAGGATGCTGAAATCTTATCTCCGTTTTAAAACATAAATCTAAAACAATACCTCAGAGAGCTTGGACAACTGAATACTGAGAACCCATTTGATTCTGCAAAACACCAGATGGTGTCAGGGTTTAGAGCCTTGATGTCCTAGAGCCCAAGGATCTAATGATGAACAAAGTGCCTGTGAGTGGAGTTGTCGCTGTTGGAAGAAACCTTTCTCTGGCTAGGATTTCAGCAGTCTGCAGAACATAAATCATTCTCACTCGTATTTCATGGCATGGTAATTTTTTAATGAGCTGGGATTCTTCTGATTCTTTAAGAACCAATTTTTTAAGAAACTGGTTAAAATAACTTATTTTTATACTGTTATACTACATGTATAATACTTTATTTGATGGTGTTTAGAGAAGAATAAGCAAATTGCAGTTTAGATGCATCATCTGACTTTCATGCATTGAGTTAATCACAAATGTTTGTTCATCCAAGTCAAGTCACCTCTTTTTCCTGTTGAACTAGCCTCTGCACGACCTTGTCACTGCAGTGGGAACCAGAGATCATAGCAGTGGCAGTGATGTATCTCGCGGGACGTTTGTGCAAATTTGAAATACAAGAATGGACCTCCAAACCCATGTATCGAAGATGGTGGGAGCAGTTTGTGCAAGATGTCCCTGTGGATGTTCTGGAAGGTATTGAGCATGCCGATTATTCTATGAGGGTGTTCCATGTTTGGGTGGTGCTGCCCTGAGAACATGATTCCTGAATAGATTTCCAGTAGGCCTGCATAAACCCTTCTTTAGAAGCATCCGTGGTTAACGTTTCAAATGGAATATCCACTCTGTCCAAACATATCATTTTGGTGCACAGCAGAGGCAGGATGAATATGATTTTGACATGTTGGTCCTTGTATGAGAATCGTGGCTCAAAGGGAAATGGGCTGGCTTTTTTTCTAGGTAGAGTTTTACTTAAAATATGCATCTGTGGTAAATGTAATTGTCACCTATCCTTTAGATATCTGCCATCAAATCCTGGATCTATACTCACAAGGAAAACAACAGATGCCTCATCACACGCCTCATCAGCTGCATCAGCCCCCATCGCTCAACCCCACACCACAAGTGCCACCAGTGCCACCGTCACAGTCGGCTCAAGGCCCTGAACCACCGCAGCCCCCACAGAAGGACCCGCAGCCATCAACCCAGCCGCCACCACCACCACAGCCAGTCCAGCAGCCCAAGAAACCGTCCCCACAGCCTAGTCCTCCCCGCCAGGTGAAGCGAGCCACGGTGAGTGGCCAGATTGGCACTGGGCATGGCCAGCTTTCCCGGTGGCAATGCCTCACCTGAGCACATTCCTATTTCTAAGGGATTTCACGGAACACCAAAATCCCTATCAGACGGCATGTCTATGGGGAGCCTGAAAACTTCCGTAGTCAGAGAGGCTCTGTCCTCCTGTAGCTGCTGGTGTCTGTGTCACCTCCGACAGGGCCCTGCAACCTGCCAGGGTGGCATTTCCACCCCTGTGCCCTGCAGGAATGGGTGTCTCCACTTCCCTCTGACTCTGTAGTGTTTGGATCTTTAAGTGACAGTAATTGTTTCTCGAATGGTGGCAGCCAGCCACTGAGGAAGGCATTTATTTGCTGTTACTCAGTCCTTAGAAGAAGCCATGCAGGATATACAGGTATCAGCCAACTCTGCTCATCAAACTTAGAGCAGTGCGCGAGAAGGCCTGAGAGACTGTTCAGAACTGAGACGAGTGAGTATTTCTGGACAAGGGAAGAGGAAGGAAGCAGAAACGGTGCTCTTTGGGTGGCAGGTTTGCCCTGCAGTTAAGCCAGCATGGTTTTGTGTGAGGCCACATTCTGTCGCTGGGATTTCATGGCTGGCTCATCTGTTTTTCTCACTCTTCCCAGGGTCTGAGTTAACGGTTGTGTTTTCTTTTGAAACAGGTGGTTTCTCCCAAAGAAGAGAACAAAGCAGCAGGTAATATCCAGTTCTGTTTTTTAGTTATATGTCTGTTTACCAAAACTTTAAATTCTTAGTCAACATTGATTCTTTTCTGATTAGATTGGCCTTAAAATTTAATCTTAAAGAGCCCATCACAAACCTGACCCATTCTGCCAGAATACACATTGTCTTCTATTTGACTCGACTCTATTTTTAGATGATATTTTGATAAAAGTTATCAATAACAATGTACGAGTCTAATATATAAAATGTCATCATGAATGTAGGAGACTGGTTGCCACAATACATGTTGTTAGAGATGAGTGAAGTGTGACACAGGAAACACCTGAAGGGAGGGAAGAGCCCTGGTGTCCCTGTCCTGAGCCGAGCAGAGGATGGTGAGGAGAGGACTGCGTGGTGGGCAGGGTGTTGCCCAGAGAACACCCGGCCAGCCTGCCAGACGCCTTTTCTATGTCCATATTTGTTTCTGAGTTGGAAGCAAGTAGAGAGAGAAAAATCTGGAAGATTACAGAAGAGGAAGTGAGAAGCCTTTTCTGTGTTGTTGGCCCTGTTGTGCTTGAGCTCTTTGAAGCAGTGTCCACTGTCTCTGTTTCTCTGCTGCTGAGTTCCATGTTATTGCTGAGGACCTCAGGGAATTGTTTGTGGTACTGTTGTTGAGATCTTCAGGTTTCCGTAAAGCTACCTGTTTCGCAGGATCTTTGGGAGAATGATGAGTTCAGTACAGGTAAATTTTTTTAGTTCTGAACGAGCAAAAGTGTGAGACACCAAAAAGCAGATACATACAGTCATCCTGAGCCGATTGCAGCCTTTGCTGGAGAGGTGTTGGCAGCCAGGGGTGGCCTGGAGAAGCACTAGAGCTGAGAGCCGAGAGCCTATGAGTGGAAGGAGGCAGGTGAGCAAAGGAACTGGAAGTAAATGAAGAGAGGAGTTGACTGGAACAGGAAGAGCTGAAAGGGCTTCACTTCTGAGAGGACTGAGTGTGGTTGGTGGATGACAGCGCCTACTACTTGGAGGCACTGATTTTGCATAGGCAGCGAGAGCCATGGGAGGTTGGTTAGCAGAAGCATGGCAGTCTGAGTTCATTTTAGAAAGTTTCCTGGCACCAGTAATAGCACAGATGGTTGGGAATGGGAGGGACTTTGCCAGCATCTGGGTGAGACCTGGTGAGAAAAGAGTCAGTGAGGGCCAGAGGCCCAGGAAGGGGAGGGTCAGACAGCCTGGAGGTGAGATCTGACTGAGCGGTGCAGCACGTGAAAGTAGCTACAGAGGACTGATGGTGTGGCCCACTCAAATGGCCTGGTGCCCTGAGATTTCTGAGAGTGAGGAAGAAAAAGGAATGGAGCTCTGGCCAGTGGCTCAATTGGTTGGAACATCATCCCGTACTCCAAAAGGCTACGGGTTCGATTCGCAGTAAGGACATATAAGGAGGCAACCAATCAGTGTTTCTCTCACATCCATGTTTCCCTCCATCCCTTCCCCCCCCCCCCCCCCCCCGAAAAAAAAGCAAAAAGTCTTATTGGTCAATTTTATGTTGATTATACATTGAGATGATCAAAAACTTTTATATATCAAGTTAAATATTAATTTCAACTGTTCTGAACATACTGCTAGAAAACTGAAAATTACATGTGTGGCTCTTTTGATATTTCTGTTGGACTTTAGCTTGGCTGGCTGTGGGAGGAGGTTGGAGGGAGTGCCTGAAGTGAGAGGGATCCCAGTTAGGAGATGGAGGGAAAGGCTGCCTTGCGAGGTGCTGGCTGCTGGGTCTAGGGCTGGGACTTGAAAGTCAGGTCCCCGGTTTTGGAGGAGAGATAGAAGCTAGAGATGTCGATTCATCCCCCTAGAGAGAAGGCGCTTGGCCTCCAAGGAAGATGATAAAGAGAAATACGTCTCCAGTCTAAGTCTAAGACCGAGGAGACCAAGAAAGTGATCAGCAATGCCGGGGCAGAATCAGATCAGTGATGTGCAAGCCCGGATAAAGTGAGAGTCAGGAAAAGGGCCAAAACATACAAACAAAAAGATTGCGTTCTTTTTCAATCATGTGTGCACACTCGCTACCTTTCCAAATAAGCATTGGACTTGATGTAGCCTTATCTGTGCGATTTAGTGTCGTCACGGTGGATGCTGGTCACATGCAGATGTTCCACCCTGAAGGATGGACCATGTCCTCTGCCCCAAGTGGCCCCAACTTCTTAAGCAAGTGCGTTTAAGGTCGCTCGCCTCCAGTTCTCTAATGGTGACTTCTAACGGGCTGCCAAGTGGAGCAAATATTTGTGAGAGAAAATAAACTGGAAACTCACCTAAACAAGAGTTGAAAGGTGGTGGTTTCCTGTGAGCATCGGGGCCTTTCTTGTGTTCTGTGCATTAGTAAGTCACCCAGGTCACTGAAGTGGTTTTGTGCTTCTCTCAAGTTGTTGGAAGGGCTTGCTTTGTGGAAAAGGGGACATAGTGGGTTAGTTTTCTTTTTAGAGGGGAGGTAGGAGATCAGAGCTGTATTTGTTTTGTTTTGAATAATTTTTAGTTTGTTTTTATTTTTTATATATTTTATTGGTTTTTTTATAGAGAGAAAGGGAGAGGGAGAGTTAGAAACATCCATGAGAGAAAAACATTAATCAGCTGCCTCCTGCACACCTCCCCACTGGGGATGTGCCTGCAATCAAGGTACATGCCCTTGACCGGAATCAAACCCTGGACCCTTCAGTCTGCAGGCCAACGTTCTATCCACTGAGCCAAACCAGTTAGGGCTGTTTTGTTCTTTTAAAAGGATTAGTACATGATTCATTTTTTTTTATTTGTTTTAGATTTTTTTTATTGACTTTTAGAGAGGAAGGGAGAGAGAAACATTGATCAGCTCCCTCCTGCACTCACCCTACCAGGAATTAAGGCTGCAACCTGGGCATGCCCCCCGACTGGGAATTAAGCCATGACCTCTCAGTTTATGGGACAACACTCAACCAATTAGCCAGGGCATGATGATCTAGCAGAGGCCTTCCTTAAGTACCCTTAACGTTATCTGCTCTTTTTCCCCAACGATATTGAAAGTCCATTTTATTTCTACTGTAATATGTTCATTACATGAAGAGGTCTGAGTGCTTTTTTTTTTTTATCTTTTTCTTCGTAGAACCACCACCACCTAAAATTCCCAAAATAGAGGCCACTCACCCTCCATTGCCTCCGGTCCACCCACCGCCTCCAGGTCAGTGTCCTCTGAGAGCCACAGGATGGCAGCTCTCCTCTCTGCCTTTTTGGGGGCAGGCTCAGGAGGTCCTGGGGAGTTTATGGAAGGGAAGTTTTGCAGCCAAAATGTTACATTAGTAGCGACCCAAGGATCTTTTACACAGAAAACTTTTACACAGATGTTTTGAGGATGTTGTAAGTATATTTGAATGGTCACATCCAGAAATGCAGAACTACCCAGGAAAAGTGAGTTTAGAATCAGTTTTAGGAAAACAGCCTGCCAGTGTATGAACATTTGCCCACATCTGGGCAGGGTTGCTGTAGATCTTAGATCTAGTGCTGTGATGGGGTGGGAGTGGGTCGGTGGAGCTGCTGGGCGCTGACTCATCTCTCCACTGCAGACCGGAAGCCTCCCCTCTCGGCTGCCTTAGGTGAGGCCGAGCCACCAGGCCCTGTGGATGCCACTGAGCTCCCCAAAGTCCAGATTCCTCCTCCGGCCCACCCGGCCCCTGTGCACCAGCCACCACCGCTGCCACACCGGCCACCACCACCGCCACCCTCCAGCTACATCACCGGGATGTCCACGACCAGCTCCTACATGTCTGGAGAGGGCTACCAGAGCCTGCAGTCCATGATGAAGACCGAGGGCCCCTCCTACAGCACCCTGCCCCCTGCCTATGGGCCTCCAGCCCACCTGCCCTACCACCCCCATGTCTACCCCCCCAACCCACCCCCACCACCGGTGCCCCCTCCCCCAGCCTCCTTCCCCCCACCTGCCATCCCACCCCCGACTCCCGGGTACCCTCCACCTCCACCCACCTACAACCCCAACTTCCCACCCCCACCTCCACGCTTACCCCCCACCCATGCCGTACCTCCTCACCCTCCTCCAGGCCTGGGCCTGCCTCCAGCTAGCTACCCACCTCCATCTGTCCCCCCTGGAGGACAGCCACCCGTACCCCCACCCATCCCCCCACCTGGCATGCCTCCAGTCGGAGGCCTGGGGCGTGCGGCCTGGATGAGATAACCTGACGCCTTTTTCCCCTTTGTTTTTTAACCAGTTTTTCTAATTGACTTGAAGGGTAGTGGAAGTGAGGAAGCAGCAGGGTACATTGTATAATGCTAGACCCTTGCAGTATGAAAGACATGGACCAGCCCAGGAGGTGAATCGCCTGGGAAGGGGACAGCCTGGGCAGTGCCCGGGCCGCCCAGCTGTGCTGGTGTCAGCTGAAGGCCGAGTCCTGCACTGGGTGACTACACTAGTGAACATGTTAACCAGCCATATTGGCTCAATAAATAGTTTCCGTAAGGAGTGAATTTCCTTCTAGAAATCAGTGCCTATTTTTCCTGGATACACAGTTTTCAACAATCCAGTTCCACCTGAAGTCAAGCTGTGGTCATCACTTCCATTCCGTGCTACCATGACACCCAGTCGGTCAGAACCTTTTTTGTTTTAGAGATATTTACATCTTTGTATTAAAGTTATTTTGAAGGGGTTGCCTGGTTGGATGGCTTTTTTCTTTCTCCTCTGGGAAGAAGGGGAGGAATGACTCGGGAAGTAATGTATGTTTACATCGATCTGCAAATTCCTGAACATAGAGATATATTTTTTAAGTGTGAATGTAACAACATACTGGGAATTCCATCTTGGTTACACAGGAGACTACTTCAGTCAGTTATCCAAATAAAAGCAGTTCTGGAAACTGTTACTGACGGTGGAGCTCAGGCCTGCAGTGCCCCTGGGTGCGATCGCCCTCTCGACCCCACAGGCCTCGCTGCCCACCAAGCCTCACCCACGTCTCCTGGGCAGCGCCCTCACCGGCCAGCCTCTTAGGTCCCCAGGTTAGATGAGGGTTTGAATTTGAAGTCCTTTCCCTTTCTGGCCTAAGGCCTAGGCAGCAGCCCCCGGAATAGCAGGCAGAGGGCCAAATGGGGACGCTGTGTGCCAGCGGCAGCCCTCTGCCCAACCGCCCATCCCCGAGACAAACACTGCACACCGCCATGGAGGCTTGCAAAGAGCCTTTATTTATCTAGCGCAAAGTATACACTGTCACAATCTTCTCTGTTACCTTTTACTAAAATAGTTCAATGTTTTACCACACTATCAAAAAGTTCTAGTTCTTCTCTCCCCAAATCAAAGTGGTTCAATAGAAGGTAGAAATGGACCAGCCGGGCAGGGCTGGCCATTCTCAGGAGGTCACGTCCTACAGGAGACAGAGCATGGCTGCGGCCGGGGACGGGAACCAGACGTTCCGCCAGGTCCGGAGGGCAGCCCAGCCTCCCACGTTATGAAAATATACACCTCTGCCGCTCCGCAGCCATGCACTGTTTCTTAAAAAAAAAAAAAAAATCAGTAGTATTTTTTCTCAAGTTTTCAAGAAAGAAAAAAAAGGTCACTTTTTCTCTTCAAACACTGATGTGTAGCTAATCACTTCTGGATAAAAACGCACCACCCTGGAGTGTGCCCAGCAGACTGCGATCCTAGGATGGGCCTGGCCACCAGGGGAGGCCGAGGTGGTCTCCGTCACAGTGGGAACGGGCCACGGCGCACGGGTCCCCGTGGCTGCGGGATCTAGAAGCGGAGGATTTGGAAAGCAAAGGGGCCCTTGTGAAAGGACACCGAGGCCAGTGCACCCACCCACCGTGAGCCCAGCTGAGGCTGCAGGGGCGGAGGGTCACCCAGTGTCACCTACACACCCGTTAGTGGCAGAGCTGGGACCCCCCTCCCCCCCAGCTTGTGAGTCCCCTGCAACTGCACATGACACAGTGGGCCAGGCAGCGCTGCTCTGCTGCTGGCGTTTCTCAGCGGATTACGCTGGGAGCTGGCCGTCACAGGTGCAGCGCCACCCCTCGCAGGGCTGGTTCAGGGACGGGCAGGAAGGTCTCCACGGCCCGTTCTGCCTGCACGGCAGGTGGAAGGGCTCCGGCAGGACCACTCCGCCTGCTCCCTGGACACCTCCGCAGCCTCGGGACAGGCCACCTCCCTCCAGGGGAAAGGCCCCGGTGAAGCTGTCCCCGGGCCAGTGTGCAGCGTCGGCAGGTACCAGGCAGCCTTCCTTATTGCTTATTTTCAGTCGAGGCAAAGCCGACCTGACCGAACATGGCAAACGGGCTCCGGGACAGGGCTCCCACCCAGATGGCCCTTCCCTCGGCTGCTCGTGGTTCTTTGGACTCCACGACCAGAGGGGGGCCTCTGACCCCAGCTGGCTGCCCCCTTGTGCAGGAGTCACCCACCACCACGTGACAGGGAGCTCCCACCCAACCTGATGGAAGGTCCTTCAAAAGCCCACGGCTCCCGGTAATGCCCAGGGCAGCACCCACTTCCACCCCTGGGCACGAGGAGGACCGAGCGCCTCTCCCGAGTGCACAACCCAAGGGCGCCAATGACCGGTGACGGCAGGAACTGCCCGGTCCTGGTTCCCGTCCCTCACATGGGCCTGGATGAGGCTGCCTGATGCAAAGATGGCCTGAGGCAAGGCCGCGGGCAGCCCTCAGGACCTGGGAGTCCGAGGACGGACGAGCTGGTGGGGCGAGTGGACAGGGCCTCCTTCCACCCGCACTGACAGTGGCCTGCCTAGTTCTTAGGCCTCACCGGTCAGGCCACTGATCACCTACCCCCTCTGAGCCTCATTTTCCTCACATGAATGTGAAAATGTACACACTGCACTTTACGGCCGATACATGGTCATTTACACTGATGGTCTCACTGGACCCCCGGGCTCCTGCGAGGAGGCCCTCATGCTCCCACGGTCCCTCGGAGGGCACTGGGCTCAGAGAGGAAAGGGACTGTCCCCCCGAGGAGGCAGCAGAACCCAGCCCCGCCCCAGCCCCGCCCCAGCCCCGCCGCCTGCGGCCTCTCCAGCAGGCCGCCATCAGCTCAATGCTGTGAGCACAGCTGACTACAGTGATGGCCTCTACCGCCAGCCCCCAGACCTCACTTTGCACCACGGGCCTAAGAGGCTGAGTGACGTGCTGAAGGTCACACGGGAAATGAAAGCTAGGGCCAGGACAGGCTCCTCCCAGGGGGACAGAACTCCTGTCACTGCAGCCACACGGCCCTGTCCACAGTGACGGAGGATGGGGCCGGGTTCCGGGGGGACTCCACAGTGGCCCGGAGGCCCAGCTGTGACCGGCGCTACCCATCCGGGGAGAGGGGTGCGCGGGCTCCGCCGGGGGCTGCACTCAGCCTTCCTGCATTCCTGGCCCCAATGAACCATGGAGGCAGAGATGCACGGGCAGAAGGGTCCCCAAAATATAGGGCCCACCTGGCACGGGGCAGGGTGACACTGGGGGGAGAGGGGAGGGTGGATTCTCAAAACAAGCGGCAGCTGGCAGGAGGCGGCAGGGCACAGGCCAGAGGAAGGGCCTGAGGTGCTCCCCAGCCTGTGGCTCTCGGGGCTCGGTGCTCCGGGAGCCAGCGTTCAAGTCACAGCGGGTGGATGGGAAGTGGCGCCTCTGCACCGGGTCCGGCGGCCAGTGAGTGGCCTTTGTCCGGTGCGGTGGCAGCCGGCAGATGGAGGGCTTCGTGAGGTGCTGGGCGCAGCCTGGCATGGTCCCTGGGCTGGGCGGCTCGGAGCAGCCTTCCATCCTCGCACAGCGAGCCTGCAGCCTGGCCGGGAACGGGGACGGGCCGCCCGGGCTGCCGTGGAGCGGGGACAGCCAGCGGCTGGCTCGCCTCCCCGGGTGCTGGTGTGAGATGTGGGAGGTGGAGGCCCGGCCGGCGGGGGCCACACCTGCGGCTGCCGGGCCACAGCAGGCAGCGTCCTATGTACAATTCGTCACAGAGGAAGAGTTCAAGGCTCAGCCGAAGGCCTGCCACTCCCCTGGGGCTCCCGGGCAGGGACAGTCCACGTCCGCGGAGGAGAGGCCTACAAAGGCCCCTTGAACTGGTTCCCAGACAGGTGCTGCCGGATGGAGGGCTTGGAGCTGGCGGCGTCTCCCAGCTTCCTCCAGACCACCTGTGCGGAGAGGAGAGGTGAGACATGAGGGCCCGGCCCCCCCAGCCCGCCCGCCGGCCTGTGCGCCCATCCCAGAGCCGAGGGGCCAGGAGGGGAAACTGAGGCCTCAGAAAGCTCGGAAACACACTCAGGCCAGGTCTTTGCATGTCCATCCTCTCGGCCACGCCTGCCTTCCTGAGCAGGTCACCACGGGGTGTGGGCTCGGCCTTGCAGCTGTCCAGCGGGGCCCATGGACCCAGAAGGCAGCCTAGGAGGGGGTTCAGAACACCCCACCCCCTGGGAGACCCCGGTTCGGCCCCTGCGAACCACCCTCCCCTCTGGCTCCTTCAAGGGTCCGGAGAGGACCCATGTTGGTGAGGTGAGTCTGGGGCAGCCCCAGCCCTGCAGGCCCACAGACTGGGGGTGCTACCTGCACCCTGGGTTAAGCACCCCCTGCATGACCAGCAGTCCCCAGGGCCACCACCCCGCTGGGAGGCCAGGAGCCAGACACCTGGGCCCAGGGCAGAGGGGCAGGACATAAGGGGTAAACAGGACCAGTCCTAGGGGCCGGGGGCACATTCCCGGGATGGACGGACCCTGAGATCAGGGACCCCATTCATTCTCGGGGTGGCGGTGGGGATGAGGTCGGGCCAGCACTCCCCCCGGACCCTGGCCCGGGCAGCGCCTCACGTTGCACATCTCGCGAACAATGGCCTTCTCCTTCTCGCTCAGGTCCTCCTCGCAGCTGTCCTGGAGCTGCCGGTCCAGGTTCTCGTGCACCTCCAGGACCTGCGGGGAACGGGGCCTGGGTCAGGGCTGTGGAGACCCGAGGGGCAGGCCGTGCCTCCTCACTGTGTCCTCTCCCTCCCCCAGGGACACTGTCACCGCCATCCAAGGGAGGCTGCAGCCCTTGTCACTGGGGCCAGAGCTAAGGAGGGGGCGGTGACCTGGGGCAGGGCCGCCCTCGGACAGGTGGACTCGCTCTGACCAGGGCCCGGCTTGTGATTAATGAGCAGGAGGACCGAGGTCACCTCGACTCACGCACATGGGTTGTGCACACATGTGTGCATGTGCAACCATGGTGCACGCGGGGGGGGGGAGGGGTAGATGAGGGGCGCAGGAGGGGGCCCTGAGCAGGGAGGCCCTGCACCTGAGGCCTGGGCTTTGCTCCCACCCAGCCCGTCCTGCCATGACTCCAGCCTTGAGGGAGTGCCCGCCTTCCCCCACCCCAGCCTCAGTTTCCCCGGGTGCAGGGATGGCAGACAGGTGACACTCGCTATCGGCGCCCGACATCTTGGAGTCCCTCCCCCACAGTGTTCCAGGCCGTCACAGTCACCCGGTCCCCACACAGGTCCCCCCCTGCTACCCAGACGCCCCCAAAGAGGTCCCTCATCCACATCACACCAGGGACCGGGCCCCTGAGGGGGTGAGACCTGGGGGAGGGGGGCAGGGCCTGGCCCTCACCTTCATTGCATGCACGACCGCCTCGGGCTTCTGTCCCGCGGGGCTGTAGCCGGCAGAGGGGGGCGAGGACAGCTCGAGGACCGGGCAGGCCGGGCCCTGTGGGAGGGAAGCATGAGGCTTAGCTCCCCCTGAACACAGGCCCAGGTGGCGGCCGCAGGGGTGACCAGCTCGGAGCGGGGTCCCTGATGCTGTGGGGCGAGGGGCTAAGCAGGAGGAAATGGGAGGAGGTGATGGGGAGAGGTGGCAAGGTGAAGACCAGGCCAAGGCAGAGGAGCAGCCCCCCACCACGCACCATGGGCTCCCCCATACAGCACACACGGAAGGTCTGTTATCCATTGTGCAAGGAAAGCGAGTGCCTGCCGAAAGTTTGGCTCAGTGGATGGAGCATCAGCCTGCGGACTGAAAGGTCCCGGGTTCGATTCCGGTCAAGGGCATGTACCTTGGTTGTGGTCACATCCCCAGTGGGGGATGCGCAAGAGGCAGCTGATCGATGACTCTCTCTTATCGATGTTTCTAACTCTCTATCCCTCTCTCTTCCTCTCTGTAAAAACCAACAAAATATATTTTAAAAAGAAAAAAGAAAAAAAGCAAGCAAGTGCCCCTCAGAGAGGGCAGGTCCCCTCGCCAGCCCCAGGCATCCTGATCCCAAAGCCCCCACCTGCCCCCACCCCCACCCCCGCAGCCCGTGGGTGACTCACCATGAGTCCACCCCCAGGCCCTGGGTTACAAGTCTCCAGCCCTGAGCCCCGCCTCCAGACCGTCTGCCCACCTCGCCACCTTATTCGGCAAACACTGGCAATTCGGCACCCAGTCCCGTATCAGCCTGGGGGTGCCAGCCGGGGATGAGCTGGCGGAGGGTCCAGCCTCCCAGCACCTGCCCACCTGCGGCCGAGCCAGCGTGTCTCCCCGAGGAGCAGTGGGCAGGGCTTCTGCCTCCGGCTGCAAGAAGGACCCTGCGTTCAGGGCCCACGGAAGCCGCTCACAGACAAGGAGGCCTCAAGGGGAGTCCCGGGGCCAGCAGCAACCAGGTGTTCAGAAAACGCCGAGAGGGGCCTGAGGGAACAGAGAGCATGGACTGCCCGCCAGCACGGGAGCAGGGACGACTAGGTGAGTGGCTGAGGGTCATGCCGTGCAGACACCCTCATGGCCTAGGCCCGTGATGGGCAAACTGCGGCTCGAGAGCCACATGCGGCTCTTTGGCTCCTTGAGATTTTAGCAAAGGCCAGCTTAGGAGTATGCTAATTAAGTTAATAACACTGTACCTACCTATATAGTTTAAAAAATGTGGCTCTCGAGGAGAAACCAAAATGGCGGCATAGGGTAGACACCCGAATGCAGCCTACCACAACAAATTTGAATTTTGAACTGGAAAACAGGGGAGGAATTGCCCTGAAGCACTGGACGGCTGGTTGAGAGGAGGCTCTACCACCTGGGAAGGAGAGAGAAGGCACACTGAACCTCAGGAACTGTGAAGGTACGGAGAACTGTGCGCGCGAAAAGGCACTGGCTTACTCCCGGCTGCGGAGAGGGTGGACAGCTAATGCACGGCTGGCTTTCTTGTTTGAGAGGAAAACAGAATCACCCTATTGCTCTGATAGACGCCCCAGACAGGGAGAGGCCAGACTGTCAGGCAGTGGGCAGAGATCTCTCGGAGGTGTATGAAGCCAGAGGCCATTACTGCGGGATTTGGGGAGGAGCCGAAGGGAAAACAAAGCTTGTCTGCACCAACCTGAGACTCCGCCCCATCCAAGCTGAGCACAGAAGCTCTCCCAGAGGCTGGCTTTCTCTGAGGAGGGACTGGCAAGAATCCAAAGCTTGTCTGCACCTTTACCAAAGAGGTGCGCAAGACTGCAACCAATCTTCCGAAACTCACTGCGAATAGGACTTTTCTAAGGCGAGACTGACAGGGAACCAAGGATTGTCTGCGCCATCCCAAGACCCCGCCCATCCAAGCGGAGTACAGAAGCCCTCCTAGCTGAGACCCTGCTGATCCTCACAGCCAATTGGCTTGGAGATCAACCAACAATAAGCAAGGCTTAACAACAAGACTGCACACACAGCCCACAAAGGGCTACACCAAGACTGTCCACCGCAGGTAACTGGGAAGGCTGTGCTACTGGGCTCTCCCAGGACACCTCGCACACAAAACTATTCCATCAAATCAGGGAAACAACTAAAATGCAGACAAGAGGCAGGACACAAAGGAAGGAGATGCAGGAAAAGAAAAGATTGGACATTGTGTTCAAAACTATAGTTATAAGGCTATTCAAGAATATCCTAAAAAAGGCCAATAAAATAAATGAGACCTATGAGGATTTGAAAAGGGAGCAACTAGAAATAATAAGGGATCAACTAGAAATGAAGAATACATTGTCTGAAATAAAAAATATTACAGAGTCCTAAAAACAGACTGGAAGATCTCAAGAATCAAGACAAAGATTTGGAACACAAAGAGCCAGAGGACACTCCTCCACAGAAGCAAGAAAATAAGAGAATCCAGAAAGTTGAAGATAATGTAAGAAACCTCTGGGACAATTTCAAGCGAACCAACATCAGAATTATGGGGATCCCAGAAGAGAGAGAGCAAGATACCGAAAACATACTGAAAGAAATAGTGACAGAAAACTTCCCCCACCTGGGGAAAGAAATAGACTTACAAGTCCAGGAAGCCCGCAGAACCCCAAACAAAAGGAATCCAAAGAGGACCACACCAAGACAAATCATAATTAAAATCCCAAGAGCAAAAGACAAAGAGAGAATATTAAAAGCAGCAAGAGCAAAGCAGGTAATTACCTAAAAAGGAGCACCCATACGATTGTCAGCTGATTTCTCAACAGAAACCATGCAGGCCAGACGGGAATGGCAAGAAATATTCAAGATGATGAATAGCAAGAACCTACAGCCAAAAATACTCTACCCAGCAAAACTATCACTCAGAATCGAAGGCCAGATAAAGAGCTTCACAAATAAAAAAAAAGCTAAAAGAGTTCATCACCGCCAAACCAGAATTATATGAATTGCTGAAGGGGGTTCTTTAGGAAGAGGAAGAAAATAAAGATAAAAACTATGAACAACAAATACTATCAACAAGTGAATCTAAAAACCAAGGGAATTTAAAAATCTGATGAACAATATTAACTGGTGAATATAATAGAATCAGAGGTATGGAAGGGGAGTGGATTGACGATTCTTGGGGAAAAGAGGAGTGGGGAGTGCGGGAAGAGACTGAACAAAAACTGTGCACCTATGGATGGGGACAATCGGGGGTGGGGAAAGGACAGAGGGTGGGGTGGAAACCTGGTGGAGGGAAGCAATTGGAGGGGGGGGGGAACACATTTTAATAATCTGAACAATAAAGATTTATTTTTTTTTAAATGTGGCTCTCAAAAGAAATTTCAATCGTTGTGCTGTTGATGTGGATTAATGAGTTTGCCGACCACTGGCCTAGGCAGCCAATTCCCCGACACTCTCCCCACCTACTGCTGGCTCTGGGGAGGCAGGGAACCAGGGCCGTGGGGTCTGGGGAGGCTGGGCCTGGGTGAGGCTCTGCCGGCTGAGACTTGAGGCAGGGACCCACTCACTGCCTCAGCGTCCTCGGCTGAACAAGAAGGCGACCTGTGGACCAGAATTGGAATAGCGCAGCTGTCTCCCTAACGGCTGTCCAAGCTGCCTGGCCTCTGCCCCCAGGCCAGGCCTGTCATATGGGGGAGCCAAAACGACCTGGAAGCTCTAGGGGAGTGGGGGGTGGGGAGGCAGGTGGAAGGCAGGCCACACAGGTGAGCGACCTGTGGCAGAAGGCTGCACTCCCCGCACCGGCCAGGAGGGGGCGACAGCCACACACGTACAGTTAGGCACCTGGCCTTCTGGTCTCCTGTCCTGTCTGTGCCTGGGACTCCCTGAACTACCTGTTGGGTAAGGAGGCTGACTCCCTGAGCAGAGGCAGGAGGGACGCCGGGAGTGGCCAGGGAAGGCTGTGCCATGCGGCCCTTTCCTGGCCAGCATCCCAGGCTGGCTGCCCGAGTGTGGGAATCCTGTAAATGAAGCCACCACTGGACACACAGCATGGACAAATAACATGCCATCCGGGCTGTTCCCTCCGGGGCATTCCCCGGGCACAGCTGCCCCGGCAGGAGAGGACCACAGAGAGGAGAGCTGAGGGCACACCCTGCTTCCTCGGCCTCTGAGTTCTCACGACAGCCCTCTGGGCAGGCACACTCGCGTTTCACATGCCCATTGCACAGATGAGGAGAGTGAGGCTGGACCACTCGTCAAGGCCACCTCCCAGGTGCACCTCCCAGGTGCACAGCACTTTACAGTCCGCAGGTTGCTTAGGGGCAGCTGGCACATAAGGGGGGCTGGGCCTCCACTCCGGGTCTGTGGGACTCCAGAGCTGGGGCCAGAAGACAGGAGGCTAGTATCTACCGGAGAGAACTGGAAACCTGTGTGCCCACATGCTGTCCAGAAGGCTCCCAGCAGCCCCATCCACAACAGGCAGAAAGTGGAGACAGCCCAAATACGCAGCAACCGGTCAACGAATAAAAAAATGTACACCCGCACAAGGGACTGTCACTCAGCCACGGAAGGACCCAGGGGCTGACACACCCTGCAGCGTGGCGGGACCTCAGGAACATGGCGCTGAAGCCACCCAGGACCCACAGCAGTTTACGCCTGACTCACAGGAAGTGCGCAGAACAGGCCAGCCTGTAGGCGCAGCCAGCCCACGGGTGGTTTCCAGGGGGTGGGGGAGGGGCGACGAGGAGGGTTTGCTAAGGAGTATAGTATTGGGGGAAGGAGAACGTGGAAATGCTCCCTGGTAATGATTAAAATTATCCCACAAATCTGCCGGTACCGGTTTGGCTCAGTGGACAGAGCATCGGCCTGTGGACTGAAAGGTCCCAGGTTCGATTCCGGTCAAGGGCATGTACCTTGGTTGCGGGCACATCCCCAGTAGGAGGTGTGCAGGAGGCAGCTGATCGATGTTTCTAACTCTCTATCCCTCACTCTTCCTCTCTGTAAAAAATCAATAAAATATATTTAATATATATTTTATTATTAAATATATATATATATATTATTACACAAAACTGCAAATATTATTTTTTTAAAAACAACATTGAATTGTAAGCTTAAAAATAGTCCACTAACAAAAAAAAAGTGGGGAGACCAGCTCCCCGAGGGGCTATCAAAAGCCTTGATCCTCCTCTCAGAAGGTTGATGAATGCAAACCCCTCTTGGGGGACAGCTCCTTCCGTGAGGTCTGAGTCTGGGGTCCATCCAGCTGAGTCCCCCCTCTTCAGTCTGAAGCAGAAGCCCTGTGCCCTGCCCCCTGGCCACCTTGGCCAGTGACCCTTTCTGAGGAGAAGCAGGAGGCCCTGAGCCGCCGTGGGGTCTCTGACACCGGTGCGCAGGGGAGGGAGAGGGGGTAGGAATGGGAGTCCCACCAGCCCAGCAGCCGTGGGGATCCGCCCAGCTCGCTCTGCTCACATCCCGGGGCACCTCCCAGGTGCACAGCACTTTACAGTCCGCAGGTTGCTTAGGGGCTCGGGGACAGCATTCCATCACCGGGAGCCAGCCAAGTGGTGTCACTGGCTTTTGGGGGCCCTTGCTGAGGAAGGACTGGACCTTGTGCAGCCACAGGCTCCAGGATAAACATCGGGAGCACCTGCTGCCATTCCCGCCAGGTGCGAGGCTTCGGGAGAGACAGACACCCGGCAGCAGCTGCACCTGTGCCCGCCTCGAGGCCAGGCAGCCCTGCAGAGGTGCCTGGCCGTCCCTGCTGGGAGGGGGGGGGGGGGGGGAAGGCAGCGCCAGGACCCAGGGTCCGAGTCCAGGCCCACCTGCCCTCCCTGCAGAGCGGCGTCAGGCCGGCCCCACAGTCAGGGCCCCGGCCCGGCTGAGGCTGGTGTGCGTGGTGAGTCCCCCGCACGCAGCAGACACTCCGCCGACGCTGGTCCTTCTTGCTGCGATCATCCTCGGAGCTCGGGAGGGCGAGTGCCTCCTGGCTTGGGCACACCCACGATGTGTGCAGTCCCCCCCACACAAGGAAGTTCCCATCACCCAGGAGGGCCCACCCCACAGCCGCCCACTGCCCCTCCTCCCATCCCCGGCCATCACTCACGGGCTCTCTGCGCCTGGAGGGCTGGGCATGTGCACACGGGATGTCACCGTCTGACAGGCGCATCCACCCCAGGACAGCCATCCATGGCCCAGAAAGCTGCCCCCTTCCCTCCCCCTTTCCCTTAGGGGCTGGTCAGAGCCCAGGAGGACCCTGGAGCCCCGAGGATAAATGAGGTCCGTAATCCACACCCACCCACCCTGTTACAGAGCCAGGGCAGGGACCCGACACAGACACCCAGCCAGCCCACCCGAGGGCCAGCCGCATCCTCCCCGTGCCGTGTGTGTGTGTGTGTGTGTGTGTGTGTGTGTGTGTGTGTGTGTCAGGCGGGACACAGGCCACCGAGGTGCACAGTGGGACCATGGCTAGGCCCGGGCAGCCGCTCTCGTGGCCTCTGGACACTGCCCGGTGCTGCCACATCACTATGAGCTGGGCCTCCACCTCCAGCCACCACACTGGCCCTTACACAGCCCGGAGGGTCAGGAGCCCAGGCCCCTGGCTAGAAAGGAGGAGGGGGCGTGAGGGAGGCCGAGCCTGACCCGCTGCCTCCCTGACCTCGCTCGGCCACTGTCCACGGGCCCTGGCAAGCCACCAGCCGCCCGAGCCTCCCCCTCCCCTGGCGGGTGGACCAAGGCTCCGGAGGTGCCGGGTCTATGGGGGGTGGGGGGCTACTGGGGAGGGCACTTACGTTCTGCAGGGCGTCCTGGTAGGAGGGGTGCAGGCTGGCGAGCTGGGACTCCGAGTGGTACGGCGAGAAGCCTTTCCGCAGGGTCCGGAACTCCCCAGAGCCCGCCTGCTGCCGGGAGAGGGGAGAGGGGAGAGGGGAGAGGTCAGGGGAGGAGCCAGGGGGGCTGAGGTCGGTGCCCATCAGGACTGGCCCGGCCCAAGGAGGGCTCCTCCCTCCGGGCTGGGGTCTGCTCTGGGCCCCTCCTCACACACACACACACACACACATACACACACAGCTGGGACACACACACACACACACCTGAGACACACACACATACATACACACACACATACACACACACACACACATACACACACAGCTGGGACACACACACACACACCTGGGACACATACACACACACCTGGACACACACACACACACACGCACACATACACACACATATCTAGGACACACACACATACACACACCTGAGACACACACATACCTGGGACACACACATACATACATACACACACACACACCTGGGACACACACATACATGCACACACACACCTGGGACACACACACGCACATGCACATACATACACACATACCTGGGACACACACATACATACACACATCTGGGGCACACACACACACACACCTGGGACACGCGCGCACACACCTGGGACACACACACACACACACACACACACACCCCGTGCAGCGGCCCTGCACGTCCCATCCAGGCAGGCCCTCATGGTGCTCCGTGAAGGGCTGAGAGCGGAGTAAACAGGTAAGGGGGTGAGTGAATGGGGTGCAGCTCTCCCGCCCCTGGAGCTTTGCTCCTCGGCTCCAGCATCCCACCTTTGGGCTCCCCACACCCCAGCACCCCCTCTCCAGCCCCTGCTGCCCCCCACAGTGCCCCCCTCAGGGCCCACCACCAGCAGGAGCTCCCACACGCAGGCCTGGGCCTCCGCCCTCTGCACCCACGTGAGGCAGTGCCAGCTGGACTCATAAGGGACACCCAGGGCGTGCTGAGGAGGAGGGAGGGGCGGATGTGTGAGTGAATGGATGAGTGAGTGAATGAATGAACACATACACACATAGCTGGCCTTATGTCGTTTCTTTCAGGGCAAAGCAACCCCCTCCCCACCCTTCCTGGCAGGGCTGGGGCTGGGGGACCGGAGAGGGAGAACCCGGGGTCATGTCCAATCGGCGCAGGCCCCATGGGCCCGCTGAGCAGAAGCCACGCGGCATTCCTGGCCCAGGCGCCCTCTCCCCCTCCGAAGGCGAGGGCGGAGGGAACCGCCGGCAGATAATGTGCGGGAACTCAGCAGGCGGTGGAGTTACCCAAACAAACGCTGGAGGGAGAGGCCGGCCAGGGCAGGGTCGGGGGCCAGGCAGCAGCAGCCATGCCTGGGGGCCCCTCCCGATCACCACCCTCTCAGGGTGGCCCCCAAATGTGGCGGGGTCTCCCCAGGGAGGCCTTGGCACGCCCTCGATCTTTCAGTGGGACCTGGGTGATGCCGTGTCCTTCGGCACACGCGGCCCGGGCTCTGCTCCGGCTGCCTCCCTCCCCCAGCTCCCCTGGCCCGGCACCAGACAGGCTCTGAAGCAGCCACGTGTGGTTACTCAAAACACCGGCCTGCGCCTCCGCCCTCCCCAGGAGGAGGGTGTGCACCGGGCGGGCGGGCGGGGAGGTTTTTAATTAGCGGCATGCCATTCCCGCCGCCTCGGTGCCCCGGTAAATATTTGCACGTCCTGCACAACTTTATTAGCAGCCTCGGAGCTGGTGGGAAAACACGCAATCTCTCGCCAGGGGCAGCGTGACTAACGACGCATCAGAATGAAGAACCGTAATTGCACTTGAATCCAAATTAAAATCCTGGTGTTTGCCTGTCTGTGCCCAGGAAGAGAGAACCCCGCTGGGTCTGCGCCTCAGGGTGGGGGTGGGGTGGGCGTGGGGGCGGGGCGGGGGCGGGGGTAGGGATGGGGCGGGGGTGGGGGCAGGGGCACGGTGCTCCCCGGGGGAGGAGGCCTGCTGGCCAGCAGCCCCCCTGGCACGGAAAGGGATCTGACACCACAGCAGGAGCGGAGCGGGATTTCCTGAATCCTTAAAAGGGAAGGAAGTCACCCAGGACTGCAAACACAGCACTGGCTCCCCTGCCCGTCCCCCTGGGCAGGGAGGGCAGCTCAGGAGGCCGAGGGGCCTCCGTGTCCACCCTCAAGGGCACGGGGCTCTGTCCAGGGCGATCGCCGCCTGGGCTTAGCAGGGCCACGGCTCTGCCCCAGGCCCCCTCCCCCAGGGGCTCCTGCGGCCAGAGCTACAGGAATGTGCCGGGGCCCTCGCTCCCCACACCTGCGAGCACTGTCCCAACAGGCCGTGGGGGGCTCCCGCCACAGGGGGTTCTGGTGGGCTGGCCCCCTTTCGGGGTTCCCTCAGGGGCGGCTACTCTCACCTCTGCTGCCTGCCCAAAGGTGACCACTCAGATCCCCAGACCCAGGACCCGGCTGGTCTGTGTGCAGTGGCCAGCGGCGGTGCCCCTCAGAGCCGCCGTCCCAAGTGACGCTGGACTGGTCCCTCAGCCCGCTGCCCTCCTGGCGCAGGGAGGGGCAGCCCAGGCCTGGGCTCCAGGGACGCCCCCCTGGCTGGCAGGGGCGCAGCGGGGAGCCCAGCCCTGGGCCTGGAGAGTCTGCTCAGGCACCCGGGCCAGCTGGGAGCCACTAACTCACGGGCCCTTGGCCAGCCCCTCCTCCCACCCTGCAGTTCGGGGTACCCACAGCAGAGTTGGGTGCTGCAGCCTCACCAGCAGGGCGGTCCAGAAGGGCCTGCACGGAGCAGTCCCCAGGAAGGGACCGAGGGGACCAACGGGCCCACACACACCCCAACCGAGGCTGGGGAACCTGCCACCAAGGTATGTGGCCTTGACGGGAATCGGACCCGGGGCCCTTCATCGAGGGCCAACGCTCTACCCACTGAGCTTAACTGGCTAGGGCGGCCCATGGATTTAAAACCCAGGTGTAACCAAGACCAGCAGTGTCCGCCACACTGGCAGCCTCCCCAAGGCTCCCACCAGACCCCACGCAGCTGCCCTTTGGGAGAAAAGCACCCGTCAGAGGGCCGGGGTGGGGTGCCCGGGCCAGCAGACACCCCCAGGCCCCAGCTGGCACAGAGAGGCCCGGTTGGGATGCATGCCCGGCTGGCCTCGGCTCTCCAGGCCCCTCACAGGAGCCGAGGGCTCCTACCAACCAGATTAATTTTCTCTGTAATTCTAAGAGGCCTCGTTTGCAGGCCATTAAGAACCTGGCAGGGCGGGGGAAGCGGGGACAGGGGGTGCCCAGAGAGCTCAGGTCAGCAGGGAGCTCCACGTGCGGTTCAAGTTTGCGGACATCACCCCCACAGCTGGTGCCGCTCTCTGCTCCCCTCCCCCCAGCTTCACCCCCCCTCCCTACCCCCCGACCCCCGCAATCTCCGGCCCGAAGCCCAAGTCTCACCCTCAGGTGTGCGCTGCCCGGGACCCAGGCCTGAGGTCTCCTCCGTCACATGACTGTCCCCTCACAGGTCCCCCCCGTGGGTGGGATCTGAGCAACCCACCAACTCGCAGAGTGTCTGCCCGCATGTAAACTGGGGTCAAGAAGGACACTCGGGCCTGGCCAGTGTGCTCAGTGGTTAGAGCGCCGGCCTGCGCACCCGAGGGTCACAGATTCCATTCCTGCTCAAGGGCACGCACCCCAGTTGTGCGTTCACTCCCTGTCCTCCCTTCCCCCTCCCCAACCCTTGTCAGGGTGCATGTGGGAGGCAGCCAGTCAATGTGTCTCCTTATACTGATACTCCTCCCTCTCTCTCTGTCTCTCTCTTTCTCTCTCTCTCCCCCCTCCCTCTCTTCCCTTCTGCTCTGAAAAGCAATGGAAAAAGCAGGTGAGGACTTTTAAAAAGGAAGTGCACTCAGCTGCCAGGTGGCCCACCACCTCGGTGTTTTCCACGGCTTGCCCTTTAACCCGGGGGCAGGCACCTCCGCTGTCTCCATTCTGCTGACGGGAACACCGAGGCACAGGGAGGGTAAGCCCCTGGCCCAAGGCCGGCCGGCTGGGAAGTGGTGCTTTGGGGATTTGAACCGGACTCTGGCTCAGAGTCCTGGGTGTGGCCTCTGGCTGCTCGGACTCTCACCACGTGTGGGTCGCAGGGGACGCCGGCTAAGCCTCGGGCAAGGAGACGGGTGCAGTGACCGCTGCTCCGCCCCTGCTGCCAGACTGCCCATCTGCTCAGAAGCTGGAGGGCGGGTTCCTCCGTGGCCGAGGAGGAGGCCGGACCAGTTCTGAGGCTCTAACGCATTTAATGAGACCACGTCACCCATGACAAACGGGTGAGGACGCGATGGCCAGCCCCAAACACCAGCCAGGCGGAGCAGGAGTGGCCCGGAGCCTGTTGGCAGAGCAAAGCGTCATGGGAGACCCCGGCAGGCAGAGCCGCCGCTGCAGACATGCCACAGGGCCGGCGTCTCCGGAGGCCTGGGCGGGGACCCCCACTCAGAAGGGCCGGTCCTGCTCGGGGAATTGGGGGACAGAACCAAGGCATCAGCAATGGGCTTGGAGGGGGCGGACCAGCCCCCTCGCCCCCAGCCTGGATGGTCCAAAACTCAGACCAAGGGCAGAGAAGCGGTTCCTCGGGGAGGGGAGGTCCAGGGCACCGCCCGGTGGCACAGTCCCCAGACCCTGAAGCAGCCCAGGGCCCGGGACCAGGAGCAGGGCGAGCGGGAGAAGGTGAGCCACGGCCCCAGGGACTCCCCGCGTGCGGGGGTTCCAGGCCGTGCGGCAGGCACTGCCGCGGCCTCACCGTTATCCGTCTTACCGGTGCTGAGCCCAGGTCGCAGGGCGGGTGGGCGCTGGCTCAGGGGCTCCTCCAGGACCCAGAGCTGCTTTCGTGCCGCCAGGAGCACAGCGAGGCTGGGCTGTGTCGGTCCCCCCTCCTGCCCTCCCCCCATCAACTCACGTGTGGATGCCTAACCAGGACTTCAGAATGCACCTACTTGGAGATAGTCTGCACAGAGCTGACCAAGGTAAAGTGAGGGCCTCAGGGTGGGCCCTACTCCAGTATGACAGAGGAAGCGGGACTCACACACACACACACACACACACACACACACAGGAGACATTGTAGACACGGAGAGAAGACGGCCATCTACAAGCCAATGAGCCAGGCCTGGGACACATCCTTCCATTCCCGCCCTCGGAAGGAATCATCCCGGCCTTGGTCTTGAACTTCCAGCCCCCAGGACCGTGAGACATCACATTTCACTGGTTTAAGCTTCCCAGTGGGTGGCTCTTTTGTTACAGCAGCCCTAGCACACTAATACCATCCTTCACCCACGCCAGGAAATCTGTTCCACCCCGGCCTCAGTTTCCCGCCCTGTGTGGCCGGCAGGAGGGGGCCCCGGGGGTAAGCAAGGGGGCGGGCAGGCAGGCAGGCTGTGGGCTGCTCAGTCCCGGTCCCGGCAGGCTGCCTGCCCACCCCCATGTGGCCGCCGGCTTGCCCGGGGTGACAGCTCCGCGTGAGTTCCTTGCGCTGTGAAAGCGGGCCTCTGGGCGGCACAGGCTCCATTTATCAGCCCAGCGGGGGAGGGAACGAGGGAAGAGGGAGCACAGGCCCCGGCATCCATCACAGCCCCCGCGCCCCAGCCCGGCCGGCCACAGAGACTCCGCAGGAAAAATAATAGCGCGTCCGGGGCCGGCGATGAATCACGGCGGAGGAAGCAGCTGTGTTGATGAAATTTTAAAGCTGACGGGAGAAGGAAAACACGGCAATACCGTCATCCCGTCAGCGAGCCGAGCCCTGGGCCACGTGTTTTAATTAAAGCCGCTTCCGAGTTAAACGGGGGCCGTGGGGGGAGGGGGAGGGGCAGTGGGAAGGGGCACTCCACGCAGGCTCTCTGCCCTCCCACCCCAACGCCAACGCCACGTCCCCCTAAGACAGACCCCGGAGCCACTGCTCTCCCCGGCTCCGCCGATCGGCGGGTCCCTCGCTTTGCAGAGCTGTAGGTTCCGTGCCATCCGACCCAGCGACAGGCCGTGGGGGCCGGAATCGTAAAAATCTCACAGGCCAGCGCTCATGAGGCCGAGGCCAGGATCCATCCGCAGCAGCAATCGCGTCAAGGTTCCCGAACGTAGTCATCCACCCGTCACTTGATTACCTCCAGAGACGAGGCGCTCACTCCCTTAGAAAGCAGCTCTCCCTGGTTAAGCAGACCCTCCCTGTTCTGGGCAAAAACCAGCCTGGCCTCTTGGCCTAGGACTCTGAGGGGAAGGGGGGGATGGGAGGAGGGAATGGCTCCGTCCAGCTGTGTTGAGCATCGGAGACAAACCTGTGACAAACCCTGTAGCCCAGACCCTGAACAGCTGACAGTCCAGCAGGACTGGGGCCAGGCTTCCTCTAGGAGGGTCCCGCAAACTATGGGCAAAGGTGGGCAGCCCACAGGTCGAAAGCTCAGAACGAGGGCCAAGCCACTCGTGGGTGGAAGGCCGTGGGCAGGAGGCCACGCCTGAGTGGGCAGCCATATCTTGCCGGGAAGATGAGGGCTAAATAAATCGCACCTGCCCTGGCCCCCCCTTGGGACAAGGCCAGTATTCTCTCCGCGGGCCAGGTCCTGTGCACGGCTCTCCCACCTCTGTCCTCCCAGAGCCCCCTCACACACAGGAGTCCTGCTGAGGGGGCAAGGAGGTGGGCAGGCAGGGAACCGGGGAGCCTGAGCAACCTGGGGGCAGGGTGACATTCAGCCAGGGATGGATACCAAGGACAGAGAGGCTAGAGGGTTCAGCCAAGCCAGTTGGCCCCTGGCACCCCAGCCAGAGCTAACCACAGCCTCCATCGCTACCCCGGCCCAGCAGGAAAGGCCCGTCCGGCTGGCGGGCAGCCCCGCCCCGGCCAGCCACACTGCCCTGCCCTGCCTCTCACTGCTCTGTCCTCACCGCTGAGTCTCTATCCACCAGCCCAGCGCTGGGAATAAGATGTGACCTCACCTGTCCGGGGCAGCAGCCAGGCCCAGCAGGGGAAGGGGTGACCCCCGCTCTGAGAGGACTGGGTTACCTCCAGAGACGGTGCACTCACTACCAGGCAAAGCGGCTCTCCCTGGTTAACCAGACCTTCCCAGTTCTGGGCGAAAACCAGCCTGGCCTCTTGGCCTAGGACTCGGGGGGTGGGGGCAGTGGCTCCGTCCAGCTGTGCTGAGCATTGGAGACACACGTGTGACCACGCAGACCCTCAGCCCAGACCCTGAACAGCTGACAGTCAGCAGGTGGCGGGGGCAGGGAGGTTTCCACGTGGGGCTGAATGAAGCATCCCAGCCCGCCTCTGGGGCCTTCCTTCACCCTCACCCACCCAGGGGGCCAAGCAGCCCACTTCCTCAGCAATCGTGTGTCACCCCGTCTCCGGGACAGGCCCTGGGCGGCCCCCGGGAGCTCGGAGCCCATGCAGGGACAGACGGAAGGACCCCCGAGGCTTGGAGCACGGGTTAGGCGCCGGCAGACCGAGGCCACTTGGGCCAGGAGGGGCAGGCTGGTGGGATGGGCAGGCCGGTGTGAGTGGCAGGCCGGTGGCAGTGCCAGGCCGGTGGAAAGGGCAGGCCGGTGGGAGGGGCAGGCCGGTGGGAGGGGCAGGCCGGTGGGAGGGCAGGCCGGTGGGAGGGCAGGCCGGTGGGAGGGCAGGCCGGTGGGAGGAGCCCGGTAAGCTGGGCCAGGGGGGCCCGGGAGCCGGCCTACCTGTGTGAGGAGCTTGTCACCCTCCAGCAGCTTCACCTTGGTCTCCAGCTGTCGGACATAGGTGGCCGAGGGATCTGCAACAGACAAGGGCACGTGAGCATCCAGTTCCGTCTCCGGCGGGAGCCCTGCCCTCCCCTCCCCTCCCTCTCCCTCCGCAGAAAGGAGGGGAGGGGTTCCCTCGCTAGCTCATCCGGGCCTCGTCCTTCAGCCTCGGCGATAATCTGGGCCCCAAAAGGTCCTCTCCACTCCCCTGACGGGACCCTCACGCCTGGTGCAGGTGGGGAAACTGAGGCTCCAGAACATGCCAACGCCGCATTTGCCACCCTGGGCCTGGTGCTCCGAACTCTGCAAATGCTCACACCTGTCAGAATTACTATCATCAACAAATCAACAAACGACAAGTGCTGGCGAGGTTGTGGAGAAAAAGGAACCCTCGTGCACTGCTGGTGGAAATGCAGACTGATGCAACCACTGTGGAGAACAGTATGGAGTTTCCTCAAAACACTAAAAAATGGAACTCTCATTTGACCCAGTAATCCCACTCCTAGGATTATATCCTAAGAAACCAGAAACACCAATCAGAAAGTATATATGCACCCCTATGTTCATAGCAGCACAATCTACAATAGCTAGAATCTGGAAACAGCCTAGGTGCCCGTCAGCAGATGAGTGGATCAGGAAACTGTGGTACATCTACACAAGGGAATACTATGCTGCCATAAAAAAGAAGGAATTCTCATCATTTGCAGCAACCTGGATGGAATTGGAGAACATCATGCTGAGTGAAATAAGCCAGTCAATGAAAGAGAAACACCACATGACCTCACTCATTTATGGATAATAAAGAACATTATAAACTGAAGAACCAAAAGATAGATATAGAGACAGTAAAGCAACAAACAGCGGGAAGGATAGGAAGATCTGGGGGAGATAACAGATCAACCAAAGAACTTGTATGCATGCATATAAGCATAACCAATGGACGCAAAACTCTGGGGAGGGAGGGCATGTATGGGAGGGGGGGGGGGGATTGGTAAGATATGTACACATATAATACCTTAATTAAAAATGAAGGGAAAAAAGAACTCTGCAAACGGTGTGTGGGGCGGGCACACAGGGCCTCCGCCGTCCCGGCAGGACTCTGACCAGTGCCAGGCCAGCCAGACACTCACCCCCACCCCGACCCCCGCCCCCGTTCCGAATGCAGCGCAGGGCAAATCCACCCTCCCTCACCACACGGCCCCTTGGCAATCGTATCAGGAAAGCAGGCAGAATTCCACTCCCCCCCCCTCTGTCCCGTGTGTCCCCCCCCCACACTGTGTTCTACCCCCCACTCCCCCCACCCCCCACCCCCGCCACCAGGACCCTGGCCCTGCCTCAGCTGCCCGCCAGAGGAGGAGGTGATGACAGAGTCACCGCAGGGAGCCTGTGAGCAGGGAGCCCGCCGGGGTGGAGGCCCAGGCAGAGGGCTGGGGCAGGGCGGCCAGGATCCCCAACCATCTCAGCAGGTGTGGGTGCAGGTATGGGTGCCGAGGGGGAAAGAAGGGGAGTCCGGATGAGCCAGACATCGTGGGGCACCTCCCTGGTGGGCAGTAGCTGCCTGGGAGGGGTCAGTCTGTGTGCTGTGTGCCTCCTATCCACATGAGCACTCGCCAGAGCCTGCACGGCCCAAACGCCAGCCTGGACTCAGGCCCCCCCAGGCCGGTCACTGCTCCCCAAGAGGATGCAGAGTCACGCCAGACCTGCGGCCCACGCCAGCACCATAACCACCCCCCACTCACCGCCTGGGGGACGGGGGACCCAGGAGACAGACCCCCTGGGCCTCTCACACTCCTGGGGGCGGGCCAGAGGGGCTGGGGTGCTGCCAGGGGATACGCTGCACCTCACACCCCACACCCCACACCCGTGGGAACAAGGAGGCACCCGTCCACTCCCAGCTCATGGCTGGCGCTGCCCGATGAGCTCAGCCCCACGGCAACCTCACGGATGGCATGACTGTCCCCGACGGGTGCCCTGCAGGCCTGGACAGCTGCCGCCCCCTGCCAGAACACCGTGACCTTCTGCAGGGGGCGTGGCCCGGCCCCAGAGCGCCTGGCCCTCACAGGCCTCCCCAGAGAGGAGGTGGCTTCCTGCAGAGGTGCCGTCTGCCCTCCGCCTGCCTCTGTGCGCCTAAGCCCAGGGAGGGGCCTCCGGAGCCCGCCCGCTGCCCGGGAGCGGCTGCGTTTGTGCAGCCTCGGCCAGCCCAGGGCGGAGCGGAGGAGCCGGCCTGCCCACCCCTTCTGGGGAGCGGCAGAGCCGACACCTCCCGCTCCACCGCCCAGTCACCCCTCAGGAATTCGGAGCCTGTGGAGACGGGAGGAGTGGCTCCCAGCCAGGCCGGCCCACACTCAGCTCCAGGGGTGATGCTGGTGACCACAGCCTGGGGGGGTTGGGGCTCCCCACTCTAGCCTCACCTCACCCCGCTCTGGGGCGCTCCCTCTGACCGCGGAGGAGTCCGGGTTCAGAGCGGTCACGTGGCTTGTCCGGAGCACAGGGCAGGGCAGTGCGGAGGGGAGGTCAGACCCAGGCTGTGGCCCCCAAGTACTCCCCATGGGGACCCCGCGCACACGGCCAGCCCGGGGCAGACCACCTGCCCGGCAGCAGACCCAGCTGCAGCTGGCAGAGGCCCTGCTCTCACCCTCTTTGGCCTGCGGTCACTACAGTCCACGCCCGGTGCTGGCCCCAGCCTCAGTTTACTCATCCGTCACCCCAAGACTGACGAGCAGCTCCCACGTCCCTTCCCACCTTCCGGCCCGGCAAACAGGCCTGACGGGGAAGGCCTCCGTGTACAGGGTGCGCTGGGCACAAGGACGGAACCGGGGTACAGTCTGGCTGTACACCAGCCCTGTGTGTGCCCGCACGCTGCTAACAGGAGGCTTCCCCGGAACACCCTCTGGGACACACTCCAGAGGCACCCAGCTCCCCCACCCGGACAGGTTAAGACAAGGAGGCCCTGCCGAGACCGGTGTGGCTCAGCGGATAGAGCGTCGGCCTGCGGACTGAAAGGTCCCGGGTTCGATTCCGGTCAAGGGCATGTGCCTTGGTTGCGGGCACATCCCCAGTAGGGAGCGTGCAGGAGGCAGCTGGTCGATGATTCTCTCTCATCCATGTTTCTAATTCTCTGTCCCTCTCTCTTCCTCTCTGTAAGAAATCAATAAAATATATTTTAAAAAGACAAGGAGGCCTGGGGTTTCCCTGGGTGGGGTCGGTGGGGGGAGGGGAGGAGTCATCACACCCCCCATGACACACAGCAGCCCCTGCATCTGGTGAGGGTCCAGCAGGCACCATCCCCGCCTTCCAGGTGAGGAGGCCGAGGAGCACACTGCCCCCCGGGCGGGAGGGTGAGCAGGGAGGCCCAGGCACAGCCCCACCCCCCAGCGCTCAGGGCCACCCTGAGGCCTGGGCCCAGGGCGCACACATCCCTGCACAGCTGGAGCCGGACAGGCACACTGCCACCCCCGGTCCCGGGGCCATGAGGTCCTGCCTCTGCCTGTCATTCCCATTGGGGGTGGGGGGCGATTTAATGATTGCACCTTCACGTTGCACAGCCAGCCACGGACGTCCCTTACGCTGTTAATCCACGGGAGGCAGCAGGGTGCCCGGGAGGGTGCCTGACTGCGGGCTCGGCCAGCCCCTTCTGCCCACTTTTCCCAGATCCCGTCTGGGTGCCCTTCCTGAGGCCCAGCCCCAGGCCAGCCCTCCCCCGGCCCACAGGCTCCAGGGCGCCTCCTGCACGTCCCGATAAGCCCCGCCACGCCGGGCCCATCCCCACACTCCGGAGCGCTGCATTTCCCTTCCCCACCAGACGCGGGGAGCACAGACTGGCATGGAGTCAGCAGACCTGCCAACAAGCCTCAGAGTCCTCGCTGGGCAGCGGGCGCTGGGACCGGCCACTGCTCCTGTCTGAGCCAGCAGTGCCCTCAGCCACAGCCACGGGCGGGCCCAACACCCAGCCACCAGGGCGGCGGTGAGGAGAGGAGCGGGAACAGACCAGGCCCAGGAGAGGGACACAGGCCCTTCCCACAGATGACAACTCCCCCCGCCCCCGCCCACGGCCACGGCTACGGCCACGGCCACGGCTACGGCCACGGCCACGGCCAGCACCGGACCTCAGGGCCCTCGGCCCGGCGCAGGCCGGCTGTCCTCCCGAACCGGCCACCCGTGGCCCGGCCCCAAGGCCACGCCCACGGCCCCTCTCTGTGTGGGTTTGCCACAGAGAACAAAGCACACGTCAGACCACCGGGTGTGCCGGTTTTGGTTTGGATTCCAGAAGAACCACACGAGAGTCTTAAAACATGTGATGTCATCGGTGGTTCCAGGCGCGTGGACCCTACAGCACTCACTCTTCGGTGAAGAATGCCCACGGGGTCACGGGGGCCAACCCCGGGCACGGCCGTGTCCCGGAGGAGCAGACTTACACCTGTCACCCTCCGGACGACCATGTGCAGACACACGTCAGCGCCAATGAGGGGGCGGGACACAACGTCACCGGGAGACACGGAAATACCGGTCCGTGGGAGGACGCGCGGCTTTTTCATTTGCTCCTGCCAGTTTTCGTTCATTTTCAAGTCCTCTCCTTCAAGAAGAGGGAGGGCCGAAACCAGTTTGGCTCAGTGGATAGAGCGTCGGCTTGGGGACTGAAAGGTCCCAGGTTCGATTCCGGTCAAGGGCACGTACCTTGGTTGCGGGCACATCCCCAATAGGGGGTGTGCAAGAGGCAGCTGATCGATGACTCTCTCATCGATGTTTCTAACTCTCTATCTCTCTCCCTTCCTCTCTGTATAAAATCAATAAAATATATTTAAAAAAAAAAAAAAAAAAAGCGAGAAATCTCTCTTCTATACAAAGGAGGATGGCCTGGCCCAAGTGGCCCCGAGGCTGAGCCTCTACCTATGAACCAGGAGGTCACGGTTGATTCCCGGTCAAGGGCACGTGCCCAGGTTGTGGGCTCGATCCCCAGTGTGATCTGAAATCAATACATTAAATATATCTATACACACACACACACACTAGAGGCCTGATGCATGAAAATTCG